TGTTGTCCTTCAATATATCGGATACAATAAATATTTAAAAGATTTAAAATACTAATCAAGAAAGTGGTCGGCCTTCACATAAAACCTCATACAATCCATTCATAGAGATATTAGTGCAAAACAATCTCAATGTAAACTCATTGCACCAGAGTCAATTTGATGTCTATGTTGCACAATTGCACTAGATGATGGGCGTTTAATTACTAATTACTGTTCATATGTACAGATGCTTACACGTGATTATATTTGTTTGTCTAAATTTAAAGTGCTTTAACTTTGCTTTAGTACAATTTGCTGGTTAGGTATAGACATATCATAAATGTTAAACGCGTTACTTTGTAATAGTTACCATGTATTGATTTTTAGTACATTTCTATGCAACAAACTATAATATTACTTCATATTCAACAGTCAATACAGTATTTAATATATGAATAAATAATAGGCTTATAAGTAAAGTATGTTAAGAATATTATTATAAATTGTATTTCAATTAATAATAAACATATTGTTGAAAGCAATTTGAGTTCATTGACACCAAAACACAGAATATTCTGTATATAAAAGTGTTATAATAAAAGCCATCACTTAATGGTTCGCGCAGTGAATCTCATACTCTGTTGAATGTGTTTTCGTACTTCTCTTTAACCATATCTTCACTCAAACTCTTGAGAACCGCTTATAATAAACAAGATTTTAATCAATTATTGGATATATAAAACTTATTTCATTTTAAGGCAAAGTTTGATGAAAAGGATTATAATTTTGTTATCGAAAGCAATGAAAATAGTTTTGCAAAAAGACTTTTAATCAATGAATTCGAGGGAATGTGTTATATATTAGACGAAAATGAGACACAAATACAGGAATGCATTAAAAGCTGTAAATCCTTAACAAATTATTAGTGAAGTAAATGCAAAACTCGTTGAATTGAGTGAAGTTTTAAGGGTTTAAAAACTGCATGAGTTTTATAGGAATCCAAACCGATATTCATATCCATTATTATTAGAAATTAATGCCAAATAAAAACCAATTATAATAAAAATAACATTAAAACTAAAAGCAATCAAAAGAA